ATTGCTCCTCGTCCGCCTATGGCGGTTACTAACGCAGTCTCGTGGAGATCGGATGGCATCAAATATAGAAAAAATGAAGTCTTCTTGGATGTTATTGAAAGCGTCAACATGCTGGTTAGTAGTCAAACTCGTATGGATGAAAGTTTCAGATGACCACTTTTTTTGCTATATGTGCACTTGTAGGCAAATGCTTCGGGCACAGTTTTGAGAAGTGAAATCATTGGTTCAATACGAATGCGGGTGGTATTAAGTGGTATGCCGGAATTGCGACTTGGTCTGAATGATAAAGTTATATTCGAACAGGCGTCTGCGGGTGCTCGAGGTATCTAATTCCTTTCTTTCCTCTTATTCTCTCCTTGAGGTATTCAATGTCTTCAATGTCTTAGCTTCAACACCACTTTGCTGCATTTTCTCGGAAAATATCTTATCGAAACTTGAATCATTAGAAAAATTAGCGATATTGTTCATACTAGATTTTGTCAGATTATTGTGTATGTTTGAAACTTTTCTGGTCATAGATTCGGTGGCTATTTTTTCTATGTGAAATAAGAGGATTTGCTGTAGGGGGTCGAAGTGGAAAAGGAGTTGAGCTGGAGGACGTGAAGTTTCATCAGTGCGTTCGGCTCTCGAGGTTCGAAGCTGAACGAACCATTTCTTTCATTCCACCTGATGGAGAATTTGAACTGATGAGCTATCGTCTTACAACTCAGGTACGGAAATCTTCCTGCTTAGACTTTTCAATCCTGTTTTTTTTTTGCCTAATTTGTAAAGTATCGTTTATCCAGGTGAAACCACTTATTTGGGTTGAAACTGTTGTGGAAAAGCACACACACTCTCGGGTTGAGTACATGGTAAAGGTAAGATTTAATACTTACCTAACTTATCGTCAGATGAGCCAGAGCAAAGGTTAACCTGATTATCCCATCTAAAGTTGTCTTTCTTTAATTTATACTTGCTTCAAATTTCTGTCAAAAGGGAGAATTGCCTCATGCATCGAACTGAAACTTCTAAGGAATATATGTTTTTTAAAAGATTCCGTTTTAGTTGGTAAATTATTTTTCTCTCATCTTATAGTTTACAGGTGAAGCCGTATTACGTATCATGGACAGGTACAAATTTTACTTGATCTAACAAATTTTTTATAGTGATTGTAGCGATTTGTGTCATAAAGCATAGCTTGCATCTGATTGCGCTGTTAATGTCTTGCATGATTTGTTTAAATGTCTGAATGTCGTTTGAATA